GGAGTTGGCAGGTAGTGGTAATAAAGTTTTAACTTGTGGGTGAAGGGACTTGCCTCGGAGTAACTCACTCCTGAATGGCAGAGGGACTCTTCAGGTATCTGGGAGATAGATTTCTCTGTCTACGTGCATCAGTACCTACTATTTGTCACTCTTTTCCTTGTTTCTCAGTTCTGTAACTTCTTTAAGTCCTTCCTTGCTCTTCTCCCTCTTGAAATGGATCACATCTAAATGAAGGGTCTATGTCTTGTAATTAAAAGTCACCCAGGTACCTTTATCCCCAAAGCAGTGATGCCTTATTTTATGGGGTAAAAGGGAAAAGCATGTGTCTTTTGCTGCTGTTGGGGAAAAACAATTTAGTTATGTTTTGCAGGGCTTTCAAGAGCAGCTGTATGCGATGATGCTACTTCCCCCCCCACACCCCCTTTCTCTACCTCTCTCATCTTCTCCCAGGTCATGGCCAAATGGTGGGATGAAGCTGTTCTTCTGAGGATTGGCCTGAAGCTAGAGCAGTTTCGTTACCAGACCAAAAAACCATCCATTTATTATGACATCCTTGCATGACGGAGCAACTGAGATGGGGAAGTCGTCTGTCTTTTCCTGGTGTGACCTAAGTATTAGAGTGGACTTGTTTTCAATGTGCATCTGAATAAGGCTTAGTAGCAGGCCCATTTGAGGAATGGGGAGGAACACTGACCTAAGCAGGCATTGATGCTGTGCAGACATCACTTCTGCTCTCTGTTTGTTATTGAATGGTCCAGCTTATACTAGGGAGACCAACTGTGCTACCTGGATCCTGGCTGTGGTATTTTTTGTGAAAAGGGGAAGCTGCAACTTCTTTCCACGTAGACGGTCCTGTATAGATGGAAGACAGTTCAATCTAGAAGACTGCACCTGGGCAGTTCATGCTACTGTGCATGGAAAAGTACAATCCCTAGACCTTAAACCTTCTCACAGAACTCCTCCTGCTCCAGGATATAACAAAGGTACTCTTTTGAGCAGGGGAGGCATCTTCCCTGAAGAAATAATGCCTAGCTCCCCTGGAACGAGGAGTATCTTAACACGCCTGCAGTTAGGTAGTGGGTGTTGTGGCCCCTTACTTAGTCCCTCAGAGCAAATATAAAGCCTATAGCTTATGAAGTGTCACTGTCTTTCTGTCCCTTATGCTGCAACCAGCGTAAGGTCAGTCTTAACTGTTGCACGAAGTCTCAATGTGCTTGCTGCATGAGCAGTCCTACCTACCTTCAGCCTTACATGCAAGGGGAAGAAAAGGCAGAGCACGAACACTCATCAACTCTGTGACCCAAAACTCTGGCTCAGGGTTCTGGCTTTCTGTTGCACATCTCTCTTTCCCATGCTAAGCCTTGGAGAGCCTCTTTTCTCCCACTGGTTGCTTAAGTATAAGCCTACTATCATTTAGGTGTCCCAATGGAAGAAATTACTTGGTATTGCTGTGAAGTACGGCTTAAAGGGTGCTGAGACAGCTGTTACAAACAGGTGAAATTTGCGTGGTAGTGGAAATAGGAGATGCTACAGAGCTACTGGCAAAGAGTTGAAGCTGGGTGCTACAAAGGTGCTGCACAAAGCCCTGTGCAGCAAAGAGCTTGCTCTAGATAAGAGGCTGACTCCCTCTTACCCTAAATGTACTTCCTGAAGTAATGAAGGTAGAATTAAGACACAGCTTAAAGATGAAGCTATACTACATAAAGCATGACATGGCTCTAAGCCGCAGTACTGTGCTTCATTGAAAGGCCCCAGACCGTAAACTCCCAAGTACCTGTGTCCTGCCAGCAGCACTAAGGCCTCTTCTTATCTTTCACGTGGCCCAGGGGTAACCAAAGTTAATAATTTGTGTTTGTTTTGGAGTAGTTTGGGGTTAATGCTGAGAGGCATCTCCTGTTGCCTACCTCACCAGGTATCCTGGGCTTGTGATCAGGCTGCTGGAAAAGCTGTCCTACAGCCAGGAGCTGAGAAGATTGCACTATTCTTACTTAGCTTGGAAGGAAAGAAGGAACAGAAAGTAGTTACAGTTTCTCCCAAACTCAATACGGTTGGGTTTTCCCTGTCCCCCCCACTACATATCCACCCTTTAAACAGAGCTAGCACTTTACTAATGGCTAAAGTTAAAAGAAGTCAGATGGCATCTGAATGGAAGAAGATTGCATTGCTCTTTCCTCCTTCATTATTTAAGTTAAAGAGTTAAAGCATCAATTCCTACCATCAGCTGTCACCAGCATCCTCAGTTAAATTAATTATATGGTTGATATGGTCTTTTATCTTCAATTCCTCTATGTAATACTGCCACAACTATTTTTCACTAGATTCTAGTAAAGTTAAATCTTTATGAATAACAGTTTAAAAGCAATTTCCTCTATTATTAATGATAAGTTATTAAACGCTACCAACATACCTTAAGAGTGAAAACACTGCTGAAGTGCATTGTATAGCAATAAGGGAGTTGATAAGTGTTTGACAAGAATAAATTTCTGCCAGGAACATTACTGCTTGAAGGAAATGGCTGAATGTTCCCTAATTTAATGCTATTACTCAAGGGATTGGAGATGGATGTTTAAAACCATCAATTGCCATCCTGCTAGATGAAAGTATTTATTTCAAATACTTTCCTAAATGACACACTACTCTGAAATTGTAATTTCAATATTTAGTTCATTCTCTGGGAGCTCAAGTTACTAGGAAGACAGATAGGAGCTGAAGTGCATTACAGAGTCATTTAAGTTGGAAAAGACCTTTAAGATCATCAAGTCCAACCTTAGAGACTTTGCTCCATTTTAAAAATAATACTTGCATCCTGCTAACAGTGGGAATAAGAAAGAATTGAGAGCTTTTACTGACTGTCCATCTTCCCGCACAATGCTTACTCCTTTTCCCTAAACTGGTATCGCATCAGTGCACATTTCCAGTGCAAGACTTCCCTGGTACTGAGGTTACTAAGCTAAACTTTACTCATCCTGGTGAAAGGGCCCCATGTTTCCTTTCTTCCCCTGACTGTTAGCTTACCCAAGTTCTACAGCAGACTAGTTCCTAATTGACAGCCGTTCTATCCCCACAGCGTGCAATAGCAAGGCAGTTGTGTGAGCAAAGCGGACACAGTGACCACACACACACTCCTGTTGCTTCACATAGATATATGTATGGGTATAGATATACGGTATATACACATTGATCTTATTTTATATATATAAAATAACACCTTGTTTATAAAGCGACATTTAATTGCCACTGGTTCCCTTCCTGCCCCACAAAAACAATAGTATACAAAATATAAAATATTTTAAATATTTATAAACGCCGCAAGAAAAAAATAGAACTGTACGAAAATATTTTTTTTTTTTCTGAGGTTCCCTCCCTGCCTGGAAAGAGAAGGGGTACACGTTTGGCCAGCCTAGTGTGCCTTGAGTCCATAGTTGTTAAGTGGGTAGGAGTATGCCCTGCCTAATACTATCCGGTCCCGGAGGAGCTTAAATAAGACATAATAATTGCAGAAAAGGATGAGGGCCATGGAGAGGGTATGGTTCCACTTCTCTGAGCGCAGCAGTGAGTAGAGCTGGTAGCAGACCACACTGCCTTCGATGAGAATCAACAGGTTGAGCAGCCGTAATGGACGGTGAAAAAGGAACTGCAGGGAAACAGTCAAAAAGGACAGGTTTCTATAATTTGTCACATGTGCCCCTCCCAGCTGTAACACAGCATAATGCTGTTGGGCATCACTGAGCTAGCAACCACTGTGCTGGGCAGGAAAGATGTTTGTACCAACCACTGCGAGCTGCTACTCGGGGAAAGCAGCATAAAACCCAAGACATGTGAAAGCGTCAGTTTGCTTGAGGAGGGGGGGACGGGTTAAATAACCTATTGGCCAGCTGAGATACTTTCCCATTTCCCTGGAAGATGTTAACTAGAACCCTCTTTAAGAACATGCCACTGCCTGAAGGGAGAGCTGCGTCACTGTGATGAGAATGTACTGACAAGGCAGCTGTGGCTTCCATCTTGCCCAGACATCGCGGCAATACTGCAACGAGAAAGCCCCTCTGCTGAGAACAGGTATTTTGCTTGGCAGCAACGGGCTGTTGCACAGCACTGAACTCTGTTCCGCGCGATCTGCTCTGCCGCAGCTGGGTCTGAGCCTCTCCTCCCTCCCACACTCACAAGGCATCAAGCAAGAGAAGGGATACTTGCATAAAAGCGGGCGTGGGACACGTCTGAAGGCACTGCTACGTTGTAAGGCCCAACTGCTTTATACAGGCATCGGCTACGTCGCACCAGAACTCCTTGTGGCCATATTGTGTTTTCTGACCAGCTGGGGGGAAAGAATACCAGAGCGTTAGCAGCTGTGCTCCCAGCTCCCGGAATGGGGGTTCACAGGAATGGACTGCATCTTGAAAAATACCAAAGCCTCTACCACAAGGACACATCCCAGCTCCCCCTGGGAAAGCAGAGAGAGGTGATCACAAGCCCACCAGATGGACTCTTACTGAGTAATGTGAACAAATGGCTCCCAGGGCAACAACCTAGCCCACTGCATCGGAGGGCCACCGCCTGCCCCTGCACAAGCTACTTCTCCAGTGGCTGAGAAGATCTCAGCGTTTGTTTCTAGGAAGGAACTCACGGTGACTACAGGAGCTCAGACAGCTCTCTAGAGCAGATGTTTCTATTTCTGGGGAACAGAAAGACCAGCAGACTTGCACCTGTGACCCCTGGCAGGGTGGTGAACCGTGAAGCCTCCTCAATAGAAAAGCATTGCCCATACTTGCTTAGCTACTAGAATGTCTTCTCAGCCCTGTGCTGGGCTTGCCAGCCCTTCCCCATCCCCACACTCACATATGCTGTGGAGCATTGCTGTAGGAGCCATGTTCTAGTTTCTGCCACTTGCCGAGGTGGGCGGCTGATCTGTGGAGCAGGTCACAGTACTTGGGAGGCAGCAGCTGAGTGGTGAGCATGACAAAGGCATTGATCCACACCATGATGAGGTGCTCACAGGACCAGCGCATGTCATAGTACTGGGTGCTCTGCAAAGAGACCAGACAAGAACTTGGCACCACTGTCACAAAACAGGAGGGAGTGACAAGGGACGTACTGCGTGTGCATCCAGCAGACCCACACCACACATTACAGGCATGCGCTTTTGGACCAGTGATTTCAGAGGGTTACAGCTTAGGAAACACTCCCGACTCCCTTCTCCTTTGACCTGAAGGAGAAAGGGCAGGGGGATGATGCTGCAGCTGGTGCATCTCCTCCTCCAGCAGCAGATAACAAGGGGGTTTGCTTGCCACAGAACTGCCCCAGGAGCACCAATTGCACTGAGACTGCTACACGTATTGTAGAGCCCTGCCCATTTCACTACACCAACTAGAGCTCATTCAAGTTAGAAGAAAAGACAGATTAAAAAATACAACCCCCACATTGACAAGAGGTTCTTGGATTTAGCTTGCCAAGCATCCTAGTTGGCTCTGTTTTCTAGCAGGTTGAACACCAAGGCCTCTGATCCAAGCACTCGAAAGCCAGGATGTTGGATCTGAGACAGGCAACAACAGGTTCCCTTTTGTAGGAAGAACACAGCTATCCATCTGCCTAGGACAGGGGGTGGGAGAAGGGGAGTTAGTAAGTGGGGTGATGGGACTAGAGGTGCATCACATTTATGGCAATACCTATCCGCCAACCAGGAGCGGTACTACTGCACTCCAGATGCAGCCATGCTCCGCTATCCGGGCTGCCAAAGGGGAGACAGAGAAAAGGGGAATTAACCAGGAATCTGGCCTGGCAGCAATTCACACGACATTCAGAAGGAGATGGCGGGCAGGGGCACAGAGAGAGCCAGACAAGAGCTACCTTCACAAAACACAGTGGCAGGAACGCCACATAGTAGGCACTGAAGAGGGAGTTGAAGAGAACTTCCTTGATCCTGCGGTTGAAATCTGCTTTTAGGCACTCCACCTCATTGCGGATGAGATCTGGGGAGAGGGGGCAGCTGTGGGTGGGGATAGACGTAGGATTATTGAACTGTTCTCTCAGGGATTCCCACAGAAGTGAGAAGAAATCTTTGGGTTTGACCAGGCTGCTGACAGCTGAAGCCCCATCATCCACCATCTGGTCCTGTACCAAGTAACCACAGTCCGCAGGTAGGGGCTGTGCTCTGCTGTCCTGGTGGAAGCAGCACAGAGGAACATAGACACCAAACCTGCAGGGAAGGAGAAAAAAAAAAAAAAAAAAAAAAAAAAAAAGGGCTGAAATGGCATCCATCCCAACATGAAGCAGGCAGAACCTTCTCAACCAATGTTGGCCCACTCCAGGCGCTCGTGGCCAATTCCTCTCCCCACTAAGAGGCTAGGGGAGAGGCAGCTCTGCAGAGAAGCTTCTTTAAATTCCATTTGTGGAACCAGCGATCCCAGTGGCTCAGTCTTCAGTCACATTAAAGGCCCCTCACATGAACAGCATACTGCAAGCAGTCTGTTTCATAAGCTCAGCACCACCTCCTTGCATCACCCCCAGCCATTCCTACTTCCCCTTTCATCATAAACTGAAGGGACTTTTGTCTGCATGTCTTTTGGAGGCAGATTACAGCCAACAGCTCTGCCTCCCATGGTGGCTCATGCCACCCTCAAGTGGCTATGCTCACCCCACCCTGAAGGTACAAAGTGGTGTCACTCACGGGTAGCCCAGGAAGAGAAGGTTGAGAACAGAATGGCTGCGGAAGAGGTTGACCAAAGTCCAGCAGAGCACCCATCCACAAAGGGTGAGCAGCACCAGGCGCACCAGGTAGTGAATCACTGATGTCGCACCCACCTGAGAGGCCTGCAAACGGAGAAGAAGCATTAAGCAGCCCTGCAACACCAGTGCTAGAACATGAGCACAGGGGGTGTCTGTGGAGGAGGAGCTGGGAGAGGGGTGCCAGGAGGTACTGTAAGAGGGATAGCTGCCCTCTTCCTCCCACAAGTAGGAGACCGACTCTCTTACAGGATGAACGCCTTTGACTTTATTCATGATTGGCAAAATCCAGAAGTTTCAGATAAGCACAAGTGGTTGGGCATAACTAAAATAGGGCGTCTTAAAAATCAGAGCTGCCAAGTCCCAGTATTGCTCTGATGATAGTGCAAGGATAGCTTGAAACACATTTCCCCTCGCTCTTTCCTTTAGAAGGATCAGGTCTCCCCATTCATTTTCCTAAAGGACTGGAATGTCACACTTCTCAGCTGAGGGAAAAGAAGATGGTGCACTCTGGCAATCCCAAAACTAGATTCCCACCACTCATCTCTACTGGATGTACAGGCTGCAGTCCAGTGAGGAGGCACCACCTTCCAAAAGGACAGCAAAAAAACTTGTTCCAATCTCCAGAGAGGACAAGGCAACTGAACTATGAAAAGATTTTTAGGGGTGAGAGCCAATAGATGGGATGTGCAAGAACTTGCATGGGAGGTTTCAATGCAAAAACTTCGGTCTATGGGAGATCTTACAGAGAATGTGAACATAAATGAAAATGGCAGGAATCAGAGATGAAGAGAGAACTTCAGAGATCCCATCTTCTCCATTCACCTATTCAACAGGACATAACTGTGCCTTTATGTATTTATTTTTAAACTTACTGCTTAGTTGCTTATCCTGGAGTTGTCCTAACCATTTCAGTGGACAAAACTTCCATTTTCCTCAACATGACCTATCTCAAACATGTATTTGGCCTGTTTCTGCTCTCACGAACACAGAGGGTCTCAAAATCTGAGGTGACATGACCAGAGCCTCAGAGTTACTGAGAAACCAGGACTGGAAAAGCAGTTCTACCAGCTCTTCACTTTAGCATACTCAGACATCCTCCTCCTGGCCTTTCCCCTCTAATCTCCTGCTTGTTCTTCCAGTCCTGGCTAACCTCCCTATTTGCCTTTCTGCTACCTGACTTGCAATTCTCTCAGCCACTTCTCCAGCACGAGATAGCAAGGTACAGTATTGCACCTGCAAGGTATACAGAAGCAAGCAGGACAATTTCATCTCCTTCTAGCTGCTGAGACAACAGAGCTACCCAACACTGCAGGACATGAGTGGGCTCACGGAGAAAGCTCCAAAGCAGAAAGGCATCCCCCAAAATCTCAGTCCTTCACAGCCAGACTTGTTCTGGGGGTAAGAAACCCTCCAGCTATCCAACTCACAGAACTTTCTCAGGCCATGGATGGTCATGCTCTGCAATCAGTACCACAGGCAGGAGAGGGAACAGTGGGAACGTTACCTCAGAGATGAGGGCCCACACCAGCCTCCGCGCCAGCATCACTGTGATAAACGCCGCCAGGTGGTAGTCAATGAGGTGAAAATTCTGAAGGAGGAAAGAGAAAAGGTCTTCACCAGGGGAAGGGACTCTGAAGCCACCCAGCTGGGGTGGGACTGGAAAGCTGGCTACTGTACGCACATTAGGACCTTGTGTAAGCATTCCCCAAATCTCCCCATTGTCTATTAAGGATGAGGGAGAAAGGATAAACTTCAGTAACACAGGAATGTCTCCAGAAGCAAGATCTTCCTCACATGGACATTCCTTCTCATGGGACAGATTTCCACTGAAAACAAAACCTCCCACCCTTCAGGCAGGTATTTTTGGGGTCAAAGGGACATCTAGGACCAAAATCCTGGGACGGAGAAGAGCTTGCAAGTTCTCCCAGGAAAAGCCACTGAGCAAGGGCAGCTGAAATGGAGTCCAGAATATACCAGCTCACTTTAGCTCTTGGTCTCATAAATGGTCTGTAGTGACCAGTGCTCCCTGATAATCGAGTTGATCTGAGAAATGTCATCTTCACGGGCCATGGATCTGCATTAGAAGTTAATATTGGTTCCAGCTGCATCCAGTTAGTTACAGCTCTTGGACCCCTTACAATTTTTCAGTGAAGCCATCAAATGTGTTCTGGCTAGACCAGTTAACAGACTGAATGCTGCTGTCTGGAACTTCAAGGACATTGTGGGTGAAAAAGAATGCTTGACTTCTGATGGGAACAAACAAATGACCATTACATCCTTTCGCGTAGAGAGCCTAAGACAATGATTTTTCTTCAAAGAAAGCTGCATCCAGGTCACATAGCTAAACGTGAAACTAATCACTGGATAACTGGAACACCAGCACCACCTGTAGGTACAGTTAACCAAGGAACCACCCTCATGCTTCCAAGCAGCAAGGACCCAATATAAATCAAAGGACCACTTCAGAAGCTAGCTTCACTCACATGAGGTTTGCTGACTCAGGTACAGGTCACTGCCGTGTTGTGCAGCTAATTGGGCCAGGAAGAAGACTGAAACCGAGGAGACTGGGAAGTTTAAAAAAGCTGAGGATCTGACCCCCTCCCCAACTCCTCTGTTGCTGACCCAGCATGAGATCCTAATGAAAACTTCCATCGCCTCAGTTCTCTCAGGCTCCATTGTTTCTACTGGGAAGGGGCACCCGCAGCAGGCTCCTGGAGTCTCAACTCCATTTCAGACCCTAGGGGATAGCTAGGCCATGCAAGTATCTGCAAGAAATTTCCACTGAAGGGGCCCCACTGACACCTCTCTCTCTCTCTCGCCTTCCATCTGTTTTCTCCCCTGAAAAATTGGGATGACATGACCTTGGCTGATGGGGGTGCAGGTGAACTCCCCTTCACCCCCATAGTGTGAAATGCTTGGTGATTCCTGGATTGAAGAAGCATGGAAAGAAGCTGTGTAATGGCAAAGCATGAGTGATGGCATTTGCTGGGGAACTCACCAGTGAGGTGCAGGAAGCAGGGTGATTGTATGGGTACCACCAGACAGTCTTGTAGATGTTGATGTACTGAATGAAGAGGGCTACCAGTAGGTAGATGAAGAACAGGAATTCAAAGAGAAGACTCCCATCCAACGGCAGGTCAGGGATCCGGCAGTGACGTACAGGCTCTGGAGTAATCAGTGCTGTGATCGGAGGCGCAGAGAGGCTGATGGCACTACCATTCCTGAAGCAGACAGATATCATTCACTTGAGAAACATTCCACATCATCTCTACCATTTTCCAGGACATGGGGAGTTCTTGGGGTTCTGCATTTGGGACTGCTAGAGAGATGGCAGCAGTCTTGCATTCATATTTCTGGCACAAGGCTGGTGGTGAGCTTCATCATCTTCTTAGCTCAGAGAAAACCCTTATCCAGCATTTTTTCTAAACAACGGATTGGTCTGCCAGGGATGCTGCGACATGCCCAGCAATATCTCAGTAAACTTGCAAATGGAGGAGGTACAAATTGAGGAAAAGCAACTCCAAGCAAAAAATCATTGAGGACTCTGTGCCAGACCAAGCGCTTAATGTTGGCTCCTTCCACCTATCACTAGGACATTGTGGTAGCACCCAGCCTCCTTCTCCGGTACTGCAAAGTACCCATCATCTTTCTGCTCGCAGTTCTTCTCTTAAAAAGAGGTAATTAAAAGCATGATGGAGGACTTCAGCCACTTCTTAGAGGGTGACCTCTCAAGTGTTCTCACACTTCCTTCTTTCCCAGCCTTCAGAGGAGGCTAGGACAACTAAAACCTCTGGCAGACTAAACTGATGGAGGAAGTTCAGACATAAACTATGCTGTATCTGACTGAAACCAGGATAAGCGACGTCCTCCCAGGACCTTGTGGCACTGACTCCGTAGTCTCAACGCAGTCACTTGTTCCTCAAGAATCTAAGACTGTGCCATCCATCCATCTGTCCCAGCCAGAGAAATCTTTAAAGGCCAAAGCTAAATGGCTTGGATCTCTCTACTCTGTAAGGATGAACCGATGCCAAGTAGATCAGGGCCTCAACACCCAGCAAATAGCTTCTCTAGTCCGCTAACTTCCGTATGGAAGGGAGTAACACTGGGCATTTTTAGTCCTTATGCCAAATGCGGAGATCTAAGCATTACCGTGTGTTCCTTTTTCAGCCCCCAACTTCCCTAGAAAATGGAGATTAGCTTTGCCAACTGTGAGAATTAGTTCCATGTGCAGCCAGCAGGGCTAAAACAGAATATAGGCATCCTCCTGCCCTGCCTTTCTATGGCGTAGGAGGGGGACTCACAGCTGAGCTCTAACATGTCACACTAACTCCCTATGGCATTGCAGGCAAGCGAGCAACAGAGACAAAGACTCATCATCTGCTAGGACTCGCTGCTCTGGGATCTGCTGCAGGCACAGCCAAACTGAGCACTCTGTGATTTCCACCCCGGCTGTTGTGACCACCGTGAGCGGTGAAGGGTAGCTGAGACAACTTCAACAATCCTCCTCACGGGGCTGATTTTATAGCAGGAAGCCAAGAGAGGGGCTGCAGAGGGAAACATCTGCCACAGCAGAGCTGAGAAGAGAAGCTGGAAGAGGTTGGTCACGCAGGGCATATTCCCTCTTGGATGGCCTGTCTCCTAACGCCACAGCAGAGGGCTCGAGGTTCCCATCTCCCGGTTCCTCGCTTTAACCACGAAGCCGCGCTCCTGCGCAGAGGTCAGAGTGGATCAAGGCTCCAGGCGTTTAGCGCTACCCTGGCCACAGGTGTCTCAACAACCCTACCTTTGTCCTCACCTGTTTCTCAAACCGGTACCGTTTCCGCAGCTCCCGCCAACCAGCGTCTGGAGAGAAGGCAAAGCTGAACGGCTTAGCTGCTGCCGGCTGGGTCCCCTCCTTCCACCGGGCATGACCAGGAACCAAGCCACCTCCAGTGCCTCCAGCAGGCTGTGCCCCGAGACCCAGACAACGATCCCCAAGCCTTCCCAGGTCTGCAAAGGAGACAGAAGCATCACTTCAGCTGCCAACCGCTGGTCACCTGGTTCACACCCCAGCCAAGTGAGTTCATGCAAGAGAAAGCTGCTCTCATACACTCAGAGCCCTGGGGGGCACCCTCCACCACCCTAAAACACTGTGCCATTTCAGATAGCGCCAGATCAGCATCTGCTTGCATCCACAGAACAGACGCCACTGACACTGTGTCTTTAAAAAGCGGCTAACTAAATTAGCCAT